GATGGGAAAGACCTCTGCCTGAGACCCTGGAGAGCCATGGAGAGGGGCTGTAGCTCAGTGGAAGAGCACCTGCCTGGCATGCAGAAGGTCCCAGGTTCAATCCCCGGCATCTCCAGTTAAAAGGACCAGGCAGTAGGTGATGGGAAAGACCTCTGCCTGAGACCCTGGAGAGCCATGGAGAGGGGCTGTAGCTCAGTGAGAGAGCCTCTGCTCAGCATGCCGAAGGTCCCAGGTTCAATCCCCGGCATCTCCAGTTAGAAAGGATCAGGCAGTGGGTGATGGGAAAGACGCTGGAGAGCCGCTGCCAGTCTGAGTGGACAATACTGACCTCGATGGACCCACGGTCAGGTTCAGTATGAAGCAGCTTTGTGTGTGTTCATGTGCCCGACTGGGAGGATTATAGAGAAGGGGAGAGTCCTTCTTTCCCACATGGGGCTCAGGAAGTCTTAAGGAGGTGGCTTGAAAACGGCCACCCACCCCCACATTGAGGGTCTGCATTCTGTTCAATACCTGACGCAGCCCGCTCAGATACATTTACCTTCTCCGCCTCTATAAAATGAGTGGCAATTCCTGCTCGGTGAATATCTCTTCCTTTCAACCTGAATCCTGTCAGGGCAAGAAAATAGCCAATCTTCCCTGAGAGTCTGGGCAAGAAGTAGCCTCCGCCTACGTCGGGGAAAAGGCCTGTGTGAATTTAAGAACAAAGTTGACAGAGGCAGGTAGCAGGATTAGCCGTTAAAACTCCCTGGCCACTCAGCCTTTCGTGGGACCATCTCTGTGCCTCCCAGCGGGCTCTTTTGGCCCAGATGAATGACATCAGCCTGCTTTTCCAGTCTGTCCTCTGAGACACATACGTGCTGCCTTGTTTTGCTTACGGCAAGGGTTCCCAACCTTTTAGAGCCTGCGGACACCTTTGGAAAGGGGGGGGGGGCGCAACCACAAAATGGCCACCATGGGAGTTGGTAAAGGTAAAGGTTCCCTTGCTCGAAAGCCAGTCGAATCCGACTCTAGGGTTGCGGTGCTCATCTCTGTTTCAAAGCCGAAGAGCCAGCGCTGTCCGAAGACGTTTCCGTGGTCACGTGGCCGGCATGACTAAACACCAAGGCGCACGGAACGCTGTTACCTTCCCACCGAAGTGGTACCTATTTATCTACTTGCAATCTCTTGCTTTCGAACTGCTAGGTTGGCAGGAGCTGGAACTAGAGACGGGAGCTCACTCCGTCATGTGGCACCCGGGTCTCGAACTGCTGAACTACCGACCTTCCACAGCCTGCAGTTCAGCGTCTTAACCACTTGAGCCACCACAGCTTGGGAGTTGGAGCCAAGCACAAAATGGCCAACATGGGAATTGGAGTCCAGCACAAAATGGCCACCATGAGAACTGGAGTCCAGCACAAAATGGCCGCCATGGGAGTTGGAGCCAAGCACAAAATGGCCGCCATGGGAGTCAGAGCCAACCACAAAATGGCCACCATGGGAGTTGGAGCAAAGCACAAAATGGCCACCATGGGAGATGGAGCCCACCACAAAATGGCCACCATGGGAATTGGAGTCCAGCACAAAATGGCCACCATGGGAGTTGAAGCCAAGCACAAAATGGCCACCGTCAGAGCCACACACAAAGGCAGCCCAAGTGTATGTGTGTGTGTGCCCAAAAAGAAGACCACTCAATGAATAACAGTGACAAGTCAGTGCGACCCTGTTTTTTCTCACACTCGCCTCCTTCCCTCCCACTGCTTTCTCTGCTTCCAAAGCTCTGAAATTGCACAGTCAGCGTTTACCTATTGCTGTCTCGGGCATCGCAAAAATGGTCTTCTCTGTGGCAACTCGGAAATGCCCGTGGACAGACAGACCGACACCCTGGCGGGGGGGAAGGAAAGGAAGAAACTATGATAAATATATTTATAGTACATGCACAGACACATTTAAAAAAAGGAACCCAAATCAACTGCTTGGAATCACAGAATCACCGAGTTGGAAGGGACCTCCAAGGTCATCTAGTCCAACCCCCTGCACAATGCAGGAAATTCACAAATGCCTCCCCCCTCCACACCCCCAGTGACCCCTGTTCCATTAGGGTTGCCAGCCTACAGGTGGGGCCTGGGGATCTCCTGCTTTGGTGTAGTGGTTAAGAGTAGAGCCAGTTTGGTGTAGTAGTTAACTGCACGGACTCTGATCTGGGAGAACCGGGTTTGATTCCCCACTCCTCCACTTCCACCTGGCTGGATGGCCTTGGGCAAGCCATAGTTCTGACAAGAGCTGTCCTTGAAAAAGAGCAGTTTCTGTCAAGAGCTCTCTCTCTCAGCCCCACCGACCTCACAGGGTGTCTGTGGTGGGGAGGGGAAGGGAAAGGAGTTTGTAAGCCGCTCTGAGACTCCTTTGGGTAGTGAAGGGCGGGGTATAAATCCAATCTCCTCCTCCTCCTCTTCTTCTTTTACAACTGATCCCCAACTGACAGAGATCAGCTCCCCCGGAGAAAAGGACTGCTTTGGAGGGTGGAGGCTCTGGCATTGCGCCATGCCAAGGCCCCTCCCCTCCCCAAACCCCGCCTTCTCCCGGACCCATCCCCCAAATCTCCAGGTATTTTCCAACTCAGAACACGAACAAAAAAGGGGGGGAGGGAAAAGGGAAAAAAAGGGGGGGAAGAAAACTCAACCCAAAAGCTGCTATGAATCCACAAGGGTTAAGCTGACACTAAATATTATAAACATACAAAATTTATTCAGGTGTACACATTTTTTAAAAAACTTAGACTCATTAAAAATGTTCACATTCTGACATGAAAATTTTTTCAACACTCATACATAGATGGGTTAGTGCTGTGCAACTGAACCAGACGCATTTCGGCCCCAAAGGGCCTTCCTCAGTGGTCACAATCCAAAATACAAAATTGACATACATTCAAAAAAAGTTTTTTTAACATCAGATGTTAAGTACATATGCAATATAAGGCCAGATGT